TGGGACAACTGTTGTTTGTGATATACATAAATGATCTGGAGGAAGGTTCACCAGGATGTTGCCTGGTATGGAGGGCGCTAGCTATGAAGAGAGGTTGAGTCGATTAGGATTATTTACATTAGAAAGACGTAGGTTGAGGGGGGACCTGATTGAGGTCTACAAAATCATGAGAGGTATAGACAAGGTGAATAGCAAGAAGCTTTTTCCCAGGGTGGAGGACTCAATTACTAGGGGTCACGATTTCAAGGTGAGAGGGGAAAAGTTTAAGGGAGATATGCGTGGAAAATTCTTTACGCAGAGGGTGGTGGGTGCCTGGAACGCGTTGCCAGCGGACGTGGCAGAGGTGAGCATGATAACGTCATTTAAGATGTATCTAGACAGATACATGAATGGGCAGGGAGCAGAGGGATACAGATCCTTCGAAAATAGGCGACAGGTTTAGATAGAGGATCTGGATCGGTGCAGGCTTGGTGGGCCGGAGGGCCTGTTCCTGTGCTATAATTTTCTTTGTTCTTTGGTCCAACAAGTCCACGCTGCCCCTCTGAAGAGCATCCTACCCAGACCCATTCCCCTACGCCTGCATTTCCCATGTCTAACCCACCTCACCTAACCTAAACATCCCTGGGCACTATGGGCAATTTAACATGGCCAATCCACCTAGCCTGCATATCTTTGGACTGTGGGAGGAAACCGGAGCACCTGGAGGAAACCCACGTAGACACAGGGAGAATGTGCAAACTCCACAGACGGTCATCCGAGGCTGGAATTGAACCCGGGTCCTTGGTGCTGTGAGGTAGCAGTGCTAACCACTGACCCACCATGCCGCCTCAAAGTGTTCTGTTCTTTCTGTTTTCTGTCAAAACTCACTAAACCTGAAGAAGACCAGCTTCTCTTTCTTGCAACAGTTGCTAAACTGTTGATATTGTTGAACTGATAAGTCAGACATTTTGTAAGGGAAGCAGCCACCTTGTGTCTCTTTCCAACAGTGGAAGTATCCAAAGAAAGACCGCTGTAAAGCATCCTCTGGCCAGCAGAAGAATCATAAGGATTGTCTCAACAGCAGAACCTGGGAACAAACACTACTAAAATGTTAGTTCACTCTGTCCATTTTACCATTCTACATATGTAAGGGGAAGTTTAAAAGAGGACTAGAGTATTAATTAGCATTATATACCAACAGCTTACAACAGCTTATGTATGGCTAGAGTCTAGAATTTAACTACTTGTAATAAATAGTGATTCGCATTCAGTACAGAACCATGGTTTATGCTTTCTACTGATATGGATCTTAAGGTCAGATAGATTTTGGAATGTTATGGACATTTTGAACATCTTTAACTTCTGTGATAACTCCAGAAATAGGAGGGCTTGATTTCCAGTATGCTATCCCATGAGTTGTGACAAGATCCTGAAAGTTTAAGTTTTTGGCCTTTTTATGGCTGTATCATTCTATTCAACTATAGTATTAAAGTGCGGATTAGTACTTAATTTTAGTGCAATTATTTTTAAGAGGAAGTATTTTTGTATCCTTTCGTATAGGAACCACAACGGAACAGAATGGCAGAGGCACACTTATTCGGTGAGCAAAATAGTGGATTGCCTATTCAACGACAAGGTAGATATCTTGATTTTGAAGAAGTAAGAACACTTAAGCCCACCATCCTTACCGAATTGGATGATTATATCAAATGCTGGAGCAAGGGAACATTTGCTAGGGAACAAAGTTTGTATTGGGTCTTTCCAATACTTAATTGAGGGAAATTTCTTTGCACTTGGAATCAGATTTTAGATTAGCAGTCTGATCATATAGCAATTGTAAAGTTATCATTAGGGGTGTTAGTCAGATAGAGCTGGGTATAGGCAGAATACATATGAAGACAAACTCTATTTTTGGGTGAATTTGATGAGAGGCAATGTGTAGATGAAAAATAGGAGTAATGGATCGTTGTGCACACCAGACATGTTAGTGTGGAAATGGGAAAATTAGTTTTTGCAACTGATACTCTCACTGTGATTGGATAGGTAAGAATGGAATTATTTATATGCAGTACCACCCAGATAGATAACCGTAAAGACGGAAGATGGTGTGATTAACTATATGACAAACTGCAGACAAATTGAAAAGGGTGGAGAGGCTAACTTATCTTGATCATAATCGCTTAGGATGTTATTTGTGACTGATATAAGAGCCTTGATATAAGTACTGGGTGGAAACCTGAAACCTACACAAAAAATGCTGCAGAAACTCGGCAGACTGGCAGCATCTATGGAGAGAGAAACAATTAATGTTCTGGACAAGAATCATATGGGACTTGAAATGTTCATCTGTTTCTCCCTCCACAGAAGCTACCAAATCTGCTGAGTTCCTGCAGTATTTTCTGTGTTTGTTCCAAATAGAAACAGAGAAACATACAAAACTGGATGCAGGAGTAGGCCATTCAGCCCTTTGAGCTTGGTCCAGCATTCAATATGCTCATCCAATTCAGTACCTTGTTCCTGCTTTCTCTCTATATGCTTTGATCCCTGTAGCCCTAAGATTTTCAACATCAGCAATCTTTATTTGAATGTGGAACCTTGTTTGGAGGGATTCAAACATGAAGTTCTGGGCAATATGGGTGCAGATTTGGGAAGCAGCAACTCCATCAAACACTTTGGAGATGAAAGGAAGTTTGGAGGTGGGATGGTAGTGAGCAACAATGGAGTCAAGGCTATTTTTGAGGTGTTGCTTGATGAGAGATTCAACGAAGTGGTGGGATAGTTCCTGAAGAGAGAGAGCTGTTAACCATGATCCTCTTAGGCAGTCCTTTGGGATCCAGAATGAATTGCTTCTGGTGAATTTCAAAAGTTCTGAGACTGGTAAGTCCACAGCCCATTAGGAAGATTCTACCACATGCAGGGCACATGGAGCTTGAAAGAATAGGTTGAGTGTTTTCAAGGATTTGTGCACTCTCTCTGACACCTTGATTTCCCCTTGTTTTCAATCTTGATAGTGTCCTACAACCAGGATATTATTCCTTTAACTAGGTAATTTAGTTTTAAAAAGCTGTGTGGCCAGTGCCAAAAGTCATCCGATGTCATGTTCTAGATAATTTTTGATCACCTGTACAGAGATAGTATTGCATGTCTCTGGAACAGGTGGAAATTGAACCTGGGCCTTTTACCTCAAAAGTAGCTCTGAGCTACAAGAGCCCTTATGACTCAATGTTCTAGTGGTGGAATAGCCTAATATTGTTCCAATTAAAACTCGTTTATATTGTCCAATCAACCTACATGAACCCAATCCTTTTTTACATTGAGGTGAATTAATAGTGATTGAGTTTCTGAATGTGATTAAATTTTAAAATAAACTATAGCCAAATTTTATTTATATAGTACAAACCACATTTTCCAGCTGTACCACTATTAATATAACAATGTTTAACGCAGGTAATATCGGCAGCCTCTTTGGAAAGCAAAGTTAATGTTTAGTTCAGTATGGCTGTTCTTCAGAATATATCAAAAAGAGTCATTTCAGACTCTTAACTTTGTTTCCCTTTCTGCAGATGCTGCCAGACCTGCTTAGTTTCTTCAATATTTTGTTTTGGTTCCAATCTTCAGCATCAGCAATATTTTACTTTTATAATATTGGTAGCCATTTATGTAGTTATTTGTATGATTTTGTTTTGGGGGAAAAAAACATTCATGGGATGTGGACTTTGCTCGCTGGGTCAGCATTTATTGTCCATCCCTCATTGCCTTGAGAAGGCAGTGATCTGTTTTACCATGGGTTTTTGTGTGTCCTAGTCCTGCTCAGGGTTATCCAATTATTACATTGTGACTGGTGGAAAGCTGCTGATGTTCAGTGTGGTGACTGCAGATGAGCTTAGAATGAGACCTTGAGAAATTCTGGCCCAGAATGCATGGCAACAGACTGCACCATCTTGACATGTATGGCAGCAGTCTGGCTGAGAAACAATTACAAGAACACTGGTGAGAATATAATAAAAATCACCTTTTATGCTTCAAAGACCTGATGCCATTTCCCTAACTTGGCAACACAATAAACCTCGTAATGTATTAGAGGACCGTTGGCTGGAGTGCTGTGATACCAAGATCTCCTTTGCTTAATCCACAGTGATGATAGCAGTAGTCTGAATGTGCATGCTAACTGAGCTTGCTTAACGTTGGGTGGCTACTGTTTGTATCACAATGTAAGTTGAGATCTTGGCCATCAGACACTGCTTCGTTGTTGGCCTCACTAATGTATTGATAGAGCTAGTTAGTGATGGTGTGGATACTGAAGGATGTTTCCTCTTGTAGGGGAGACCAGAGCTAGGGCATACAGTTAAGAATATGACATCTTCATTAAAGTTGAGGATATGGACATTTTGTTTTAAGGTTGTTGGTCTGTGGACTTCTCTTTCCTCCAAGAAAGTAGGAGACTAGGTCATTGATTTTATCCAAGTCTAAATTGGATGTATTTTTGATAGATAAGAGAGTGGAAGATTATGGGGACAGACAGGAGAGTGGAGTTGAGACCACATTCACATCAGCTGTGATCTTATCAAATGGCAAAACAAGCTTGAAGACTGTTTTCACTGCCTTTTGTGGAAGAGAGTGCCAAAGAATTATTACCACTTTTGAGAGAAAACAAAATTGCCCACCTCTGCCTTAAATGGACAAACCTTTTTATTTAAACAGTGCTGTTATGGATTCCATGCCAGCTCACCCAGTATACACCATGGCAGACATGCTGAGGTAGAATATATTTCTGAATATCTATTACAGGTTTCATGACAACTTTTCCTTTTTAAAAATTTCATAAAAGCCTATTCTAAACATTTAAGTACCCTCAAGTACGTAACCCTTATAAAAACAATTATTTGTGTGCATAATCCTGCAGCCAATCTTTTAATAATGTCTTGGAGCTGTCAGTAAAATTGTGAGCTTGCAACACCTCATTGTGATAACGATAGGTCTGGGAAATCATTCGTGTAGTAATAATGCTATAGTGATAGTACAAAAAATAATTTTCACAAATGGCTAATGCAGATTTTATCCAACATGCAGACGTGATCTTTGTTAAGTTTTTAAAGGACAGACTTTTTAAGTAACTTGACAGCTCAACAGTGCGACAGACATTATCCTCCCATTTAGACCGGCTCTTAGAAATTCATAATTCACAGCAGGGTAAGACGGCAGCAAAGAATTACTGTTTGAACTTTCAAGTAGTCCTGCTGAGTTCAGATTTCTCTCGTTTCAGTCATATCCCACCCTTGTGCACTTTTGGCAAAAATGGGATCTGTCAGTGCTGGAACTTGGGATCCGAGTTTCCAGTATCATTTTGGGATACAATGTAGAGTTTCTAGGACGCACAAAAATATGGGTTAATGTGTTATCCCTCCTAGCATAAAATACATTGTCATTAATTTGGTGGATAGAAAGAACAAAGTCTATATTTCTATGAATATTCATTTTGGTTTTCTCCCCATCAAGGGATGAACAAAGGTTCATGCCATCTCGGTTCCTCTGCATACCGTAAATGTGATTGGGTTAAAGTTGCATTACCATTTATCTGCAAAGTGATTCGTCACGTCCGTGAATTAGAAACAAAGACTGAAGCATGGTTCAAACAGGTATGGCTGGGAGAAGCAAATTATAAAGCACAAAATAATTTTATGCAATTATTTCTCAATAAAGATACAGCCTATATTACTGTACACTTGTTGTAAAAGGTTGGTGTAGAGTACGCTGTCCTATCTTTGATCCCAAGGAGTACAGTATGCAAGAAATTTCAATGACTTGACTGCAACTATTATTCTAAATTTCGTCCATCTCATTTCTCTTGAAAGCATTTCAGATAAGATCGTCTAATTCAGTATAGACTGGAAATTGAAGAATAGCTGAAACTTAAATATTGATCTTTTCTTAACTGTATGGAAATATTGCCATATTTAATAGATATTTAGATTATCTGCATAAGTAGTGACTAGTAGTCAGCTAAACACCAGAACCTGAATTTCTATTTATTATCTTAGACCATAAGACTATAAGAAATATCAACAGGAGTAGGCCGTTTGCTCCCTCGAGAGCCTGCTCCACCATTCAATACAATCATGGCTGATCCAACGTTCCTCGTGTCCACTTTCCTGCCTTTCCCTATAACCTTCAATTCCCCCTACTGATGAAGAATCTATCTAACTCAGTCTTAAATATACACAAGAATTCTTACCCGTGCCACCCCCACCCCCGGCCCGCAGCTCTCAGTGGCAAGGAGTTCCAAAGATTCATCGTCCTCTGAGACAAGATATTTCTCTTCATCTCACTCTTAAATTGGCACCCCTTTATTCTGAGCCTATGTCCTCTGGTCCTAGACTCTCCCATGCAGGGAGACATCCTCTCAACTCTGTCTAGTCTGTCAAGCCTTTTAAGAATGCTATATTTTTCAATGAAATCACCTTTCGTTTTTTTTAAGCTCCAGTGAGTAGACCTGAACCTTTGCTCCTAAGGCAATTGCTCCATACCGGGGATCATCCTAGTGAATCTTGTCTGAACTGTCTCTGATTAAATGGCTTCTTTCCTTAAATAAGGGGACAAAACTGCTCACGGTACTCTAGATGTGGTCTGACCAACACTTTATACGGATGCCATAAGAATCCCTTACTCTTGAGCTCCAACCCCCTTGAAATAAGGGTCAGCATTTCATTTGCCTTCCTGATTACCTGCTGTGCCCATATGCTAGCTTGCTGTGTTTTGTGCACAGGTTCCTCCAAGTCTTTTGTGTCGCAGCTTTCTGTAGCTTTTCTCCATTTAACTGATACTTTATTCTTTTGTTCTCCCTTCCAAAATGGACAACTTCACATTTTCCCACATTCTACTCCATTTGATAACTTTTTACCCACTTGCTTAACCTATTAGATTCTCTGTGCAAACTGTTTTGTATTCTCTTTGCACTTTGTCTTTCCACCTATTTTTGTGTTGTCTGCAAATTTTAGAAACAGTACATTTGCTGCCTTCCTCCAAGTCATTATTATATATTGTGAACAGTTGTGGTCCCAGCACTGATCAATCTGGAACCCATTGGTTGCAGATTGCCAACCTGAAAAAGAAACCCTTATCCTCACTATCTGTTTCCTGCCCAATAGCCAATTCTCAATCTGTACCAATATGCTATCTCCAGCACCATAGGCTCTTATGATTTAACCTTTTGTGCAGTACCCTGTTGAACACCTTTGGAAGTCCATGTACACACACATACTAGTTCCCCTCTATCCATTCTGGTTGAGACTTCCTTGTAAAACACTAATAAATTGGTCAAAAACAATTTTCCTTTCATGAAACCATGTTAGTCTAATCAGAATCATGACTTTCCAGATGTGGTAGCTATGCTCATGGTCACCTGTTTGTAAAGTCATGAATGTTCATTGAAATCCCTCTCCAGCAGTTACAAAGAGGAATCCTGAGTCCCATGTTCAGCAGCACAAATCAAACTTTATTTGGACCTCCTTACCAACACAGCATGGAAGAGGCCTCTGGAGACAAACTCCAAAACACTAACTCTCCCAATAAACTACAGGATTTTTGTACATTCCGCATTACAATGATTACAGGCTACATTGAAATCAGTGCTTGCCACATCCCGTCTGACCGTTATACAATTCCCTAGACATTTGCCAGCTGCATTGTACTGAGTGGGTGCTGTTTGTTGCCTTGTGAAGCTGTGATTCTTTATTTTCCCAAGGTCATAATGGTTAAGTAATATTTTACAATTGCCCCCTTTCAATGCTATCTGTTTTTCAGTATCCTTTCACAAGTTAATCTGTAAGTACTTTTTGTTATATATCATTCGGTCCTTTGTGTTTATACCATTCGTCATATGTTCTCTGGCGCTTCATGTTTACACTATTTGTCCTTAAATCCCCTCTGCTGATGCGATGATGGCTTCTCTGTACTATTTACAGCAATTTGTCTAGAGGAATTCAGCTAAATTCCTTTGTTAGTTTGCTAGTTGCACTTACAATTTCAAAATACCTATATTTATAATATGTAATGGCAATTACTTAAAAAGCCTCTGATTATGGTGGGTTCAGACTTCTCCTTCTACACTTCACTGAATGACAAACTTTGGCCTAGTTAGTACCAGGCACTTACTAGGTTTGTCAAGGGTACTCCTTATTAAGACTGTCTACAGGAATATCATTAAATTCCCTGATGTTTAATACACTAAAACTATAGAAAATTAAAACTACTACCATTATCATACGAATGTGTGTGTACATGTATATGTACTAATAATTCCTTAATCAGTGTTAGTCCAGTTTCTTCCCTTCTATCCATTCTAAATAACAAATTTTAAAATGGCTTGCTACAAGGCTTCTATCCAAGCTTCCCTTATCAGAAATATCTGATGTTTACATTTGTTTGCTCTTTCCCACTAAGATGAGGCACTCCCTTATCTTCTTTGGGTGCAATGTGTGTGAAGGCCTCGATTCTAATTGTGGAAACTGCTTGATTCAGCTAACAATTCTCTTTAGCCATCTTATGTTAGCTAAGACCACAGTCGACCATTTTATGTTACTTTCAGCTATTGGCAGCTCCAGCAGTAACTGACTGTTTTTTCTAGAAACATGAATTTGATCAAATTCTTTTCTGCTAGCTTCCAGCACCTGTACGACCAGAATCCCAGGAATCAAGTCTGTATTCGGAAAGTACGAATGGGAATGCTGAGAGGTGAGAACATTAGATCGGTGAATATTTGACTTTAGGAGCAAGATGCTCCTTCAAGGAATATTTCAATGTTGTTTTTCTATCAATTCCAAGGTCTAGTTGGAGGTTGTATTTTAAAGTTTCTGAATCTTAAAACTGCCATATGTTAATGCCCTTCACAGAAGTGTTATCAAACAAAATGGAAAACAAATCACTTAAGGAGATATTGGATATTGGGGAAGATGTTCAAATGCACAATCAAAGAGGTAGATTTTAAAAAGTGTTTTAATGACCAGTAAAGAGACAGACTTATTTGGAAGGGAAATCTAAAACTTAGTGCGTAGTTAAAATGGATCAAGAGGCTAGAGTTGTAAGTGTATAAGTATCTTCATGTAGAGTTGGAGACACTTACTCAGAAGGGGAAGGATAACCATATAGGAATTTGAAAACCTGAATGAAAGTTTTATGATTGACCCGAATCAGGTAGTAGATTAGCAAGCATAGGGATGATGTCTGATTGGGTCTTGTGTGTTAGGTCTTTGACAGCAGCATTTTGGCTGTTTCTAATTCATGGATTAATTATTGACTTCTCTGTGAATCTATCTGTAGGTAATCATGACCATAATTCGTTTGTGAAATTCAATCAGTTTGAGGAAGAGAAGGGTAGAACTAAAATTGGCGTTTTTAACTTGAATAAAGGCAATTATGAGTGCACGAAGACTGAACTGGTTAAAGTGGGCTGAAAATTAGGTTAAAGGATGGGTTAGTAGAAATGCAGTGTCAGATGTTTAGGTGACTGTTTTAGAATATTTAGAAAAAATACATTCTAGTAAATGAGTGTTTGCAATTTCTTTTCTCAAAAGGCATTGGATGAATAATGTTTAAATATTTTTAAGGCAGAGATGGATTATGAATGAAAGATTATTGAGGATCTGCAGGAAAGTGGATTTGAGGCTAAAATCAAATTAGACATAGTCTTATTGAATGGCGGAGTAGGCTTGAAGCACCGAGTGACCTACTCTTGTTCCTTGTTTGTATGTTTGTAAGAAATTCTCTAAGGGAAGAGTGCACAATGAGATACTTACTTAACCCAGTCACATTATGCAGTACCAAGTCTAATATAATTTGCTGTTTAGTAGTCTCCAGAAACTATCAAAGAAACTACTAAGAAACAATCTGAATTTCCAGTTAGTATGAAAATTTGTGATTATTAATGCCCCTTGATCCCAAATATCTAATATTTCTTCTTTTATACTTTGTCCCACATTGTAGTTACTGCTAGGGGAGCCTGTAGACCACTCTCACTAATGACTACTTGTCCCACTATTCCTCATCTCCACCTAAACTGACTCTATATCTTGGTCTCCTCCTGAAACAAGATTATCTCTGACTACTGTGCAAATGCTCTCCTTTGTCAACAATGTTACTCCTCTACCTTTTGATGTAACTTTCTATTTTGTTTTTTCAAATCCTTGTCATCCTGCAGCCATGTCTTCATAATGGTTATCAGATCATACTTTAACCTGAATGCTATCTGTTTTCAGATATAGAGCCTTTAGTTTTGACTTTTTGCCATCTTCCTAACATCCAGTCTTGATTGGTACATTGCTAGTTTCTACTGCAGACAATAAAAGCTCATGGTGCAGTGGGTAATATATTAGCATGGATAGAAAGTTGGTTGGCTGGCAGTAAACAGAGTATGCATAAATACAACACTGATTGGCAAGATGTGATGAGTGGAGTCCTGCAGTGGAGTGCTGAGGCATCAACCTTTCGTCAATGACTTGGAGTTTAAGGTGGATGGTTAGGTAGAGGAATTGATGTTTGTCAGGGGTGGATGGGAACCTGGAATTCGGAATGCAAACTGACCAGCCATGAACTTATTAAATTGCAGAGCAGGTTTGAGGGGCTCTACGATCTACTCTTACTTTGCATGTTCATTTCAGAAACTTAAACTGATAACACCTGCATCTCAGGTGGTTGCCATGGACACGACCATGACTTGTGCTATGGTAGCAGCAGGTGGTCAGCAGTGTCTCATGATATTCTAACTGTGGTGGTCTTTCAAAGTAATTTTCAGCTATACAATAGCTACATCTGTGTGAGGTGAAGAAGGAAAAAAACAGCAAGAAAGCTGTGAGTATATCTTTATATTAGGCAGCTTAAAAGCAAAGTGAGCCATTCATCATCTGTGAAAGCAACAGCCAGTGGTTAAAAAGGCTCCAGAAGCAATCACCGTCTAGGCCTGCCTGTAGATGGTCAAGCACTGGAAATAGTAGAGAATACTGAAAAGTTTCTTCAGTTATATGACAACGATTCATAGCTTTTTAGCTTTGGTTAGAGGTTTTACTCTTTATAAATAGTTGTTTTACTCAGAAATCTGGCCTTTTGTTTTCTATTAACTGTGTTGATTAATTCTGACAAGTAAGTTAGGGACTCCTTATAATTAAGGGGAGGTGATAGCATTGTGGTATTATTGCTAGACTATTAATCCAGAAACTCTGCCAATGTTCTGCGGACTTGGGTTTGAAGCCTGCCATGGAAGATTGTGGCATTTGAATTCACTAAAAAAATTTTGGAATTAGGAATCATGAAACCATTGTCAATTGTTGGAAAAACCCATCTGGCTTGTTCATGTCCTTTAGGTATGGAAAATCTGCCATCCTCAACTGGTCTAGCCTACATGTGACTCCAGACCCACAGAAAGATGGTTGACTCTCAACTGCCCTCTGAAATGGTCTATCAAGCTACTCAGTTGTGTCAATAACTATGAAGTCTCAACAAAGAAGTGAAACCAGACGGGCCAACTGATATTGACCTAGGCACTGGAAAAGACATCAGCAGGAACAGCTATTGACCCTGAAAAGTCCTCTGTACTAACAACTGGGGGCTAGTGCCAAAATTGGGAGAGCTGTCTCTCAGACCAGTCAAGCAACAGCTTGACATAGTCACACAGAATCATGCCGTACAATGTCTGACACACCGTCATCACCATCCCTAGATATGTCCCCTCCCAGTGCAGAGTTAGTGGCAGACTTATATATAGCCAGGGAGTTGCCCTGGGAGTCCTCAGCATTGACTCCAGACCCCATGAAGTTCTCATAGCTTCAGGTTAAACAAGGGCAAGGAATCCTCCTGCTGGTTTTCTTTTTTAATTCATTCACGGGATGAGGCCAGCATTTATTGCCCATCCCTAATTGAGCAGAGAGTAGTTATGAGTCAACCACATTGCTGTGAGTCTGGAGTCACTTGTAGGCCAGACCATTTAAGGATGGCGGTTTCCTTCCTTAAAGGACATTAGTGAACCAAATTGGTTTTTCCCAACAGCCAGCAATGGAGTCGTGGTCATCATTAGACACTTAATCCCAGATATTTTCAGATAATTCCAGATATCACCATGGCGAGATTTGAACCCAGGTCCCAGAACATTGCCTGGGTCTCCGGATTAACAGTCCAGCAATAATACCACTAGGCCGTTGCCTCCCTTATGTGTTATGGACCAGTCCAAACCCCTATCAAATATAACATTTAAAGGCAATTGTAAGGTGCTATGTTCCAGATGTAATTCGACTGGTTACACTATTCAGCTTTAAGCATGCACACTTTATTCTTGCCCTACAGTAAAAATGCAAACAAAAGAAAGAATTGGTATAATGTTAACTGTGTTGGAAAACTTAACAGAATAATAGATTATTTAACAACTAAATAGCAACTGTTCCAACATAGTAACATCCCATAAACACACACTTGGCACTCAGTAAAATAGATGTCCTAAAATATATTGTCTCACATGCAATGTTTCTGCAGTCCAGGAGGAAAGAACATCAAGAAAAAATTCTGACAGGGAGAAACCTCCAGCATTTTGCTGTAGCAGGGAGAGATGTATGGCAGCTTCCACAAGCAGCTTCAAAACCCCAACAACTACTGGCAGCTAAACGAAAACCCTGGTTCTGTGGGAGCTTGATTCCACCCATTCATGCTTCCATTGTTAAACTTTAAAACAAACACCCAAGGACCTCACAAGCTGTTTATTCAATTGGCTTAGACCAGACAGCTCAGTGCATATGGCTCAAAACCTCTCCAAAAAAATCCAGGACAAAATACACCTCTTAACACCATAATATTGTCACATCTCTCTTTAAAAAAAAATGAATTGTCAATATACAAAAATGGCTTCATTTTTAAAAACCTTTAATCCCGTGCTATAAGTACACCATACATACACATTAAATTGACTCTAAGCATGCAAACATTCAATACTACAGTCCATTTCAATCTGTTTCTTCTGCCACTGAACTCCTTTGTTTTCCTTCATCAAGGTCATGACAATGTATCGAAAATTACATCCTCTCACCGCTCAAATTAAGTGGCTGTAACAATAAGCTCCATCTAAACATTTTTTTAATGTTTCCAGAAATGTTAATGGGTTACAATCAGTATATACAATTGTCCCAGACACACAAATGTTGAAATGTTGCAATGCCAACACTAAATTCAAGGTCTCCTTCTTAATTGTGGAATATTTCTGTTGATGAATATTCAACTTTGTGGAAAAATATGCAATAGGCCTTTCTATCCCCTCATCATCTTGCAAGAGTACAGCATAGTACATATGGCTCAAAACTTCTCTTCAAAATTGTCACCCTGGTCACCATATACTGATTCGGACTCCTCCTCCATGTTGAACAACATTTGGAGGAAGAACTGAGGGTGGCAAGGGAGGAAAATGTACTCTGGGTAAGTGTTTTCCCCACCAAGAGTGGCTCGGCAGCACTACTGATCAAGTTGGTTGAGTCCTGAAGGAGGGTGGAATTGAACCTGGGTCCCTGGCACTGAGGCAGTAATGCTGACCACTGTGCTGCCCAATGGGACAGACCCCAAACAAATCTAGCAACTCAAGACTGGGCATCTATGAGGCCCTGTAGGCCATCAATAGCAGCAAAATCGTACTTCACTGCAATCTGCAACTTCATAACTTGGCAAATCCACCCACTCTACCATTGTCATCAAGCCAGAGGATCAACCCTGGTTCACTGAAATCACAGGAAGGCATGTCAGGAGAAGCACCAGGTATACATAAAAATATGGCGTCAACCGGGACGAACTACCAAAGACCACTTGCTGTTTATGCTATTTAGCATGCAAGTGATAGAGTTAAGTGAGCCTACAATCTATGGATCAGATGTAAGCTTTGCAGTCCTGCCACATTCAGTCGTGAATGATAGTGAATAATTAAACAACTCACTGGAGAAGGAGTTTCCATAAATACCAATGATGGAAGTGCCCAGCACATCAGTGCAAAAGATAAGGCTGTGGCATTCCCAGCAATCTTCAGCCAGGAGTGCCAAATGGATGATTCATTTTGGCCTCCCTCAGTTGGCCCCAGCTTTGCAGATACTAGTCTTCAGCCAATTTGAATCACTCCATGTGATAGCCTTTGCAGTATCCAGTGTCTCCAACCGTTTCTTGCTATGGGCCCTGACAGCGTTCTGGCAATTGTGCTGAAGACTTGAGCTCCAGAATTTGCTGTTCCCCAAGCTGAGCTGTTCCAGTACAGTTACAACACTGGCATCTACCTGACAATGTGGAAAATTGCTTGGTTGTATCCTGTACACAAAAAGCAGGACAAATTTAACCCAGAGATAGTAAGAACTGCCGATGTTGGAGTCAGAGATAACACAGTGTGGAGCTGGAGGAACACAGCAGGCCAGGCAGCATCAGAGGAGCAGGAAAGCTGATGTTTCGGGTCGGGACTC